CATTTTTATTATTGTATATTAAACAGACATGCCAATAAAACTCTTTGAATAGAGAGAGATAGATGGTCAGATGTGCATGTGCAGAAGAGGAGGAATGAGGCATTATTCAAGGCAGAAATACAGTAGAAGGACATTCATGAACACAGGGAGAGGTTTGTGGCATGAGTTTGCTCTGTGTGGCTGAGGGATGGACAGATGGATGGATTACCATTTTTATTATTGTATATTAAACAGACATGCCAATAAAACTCTTTGAAAGAGTTGTAAATATTTTTAATTTGTAAAATATCATGTAAATATTTTTAATTGTTTTTTATTTTATTTTTATGTTTTATGTTTTTAATTTAATATTAGATAAGTTTTAGTAATTTTTGTCAATTTAATTCTTTATTTTAATTTTTTATTTAAATTTTTTAAACTGAAATTGTGTTTGGATGTTGTGTTCTGTGCTCTTCTTAACATGTTTAGTCTGCAGCAGCTCATTTTATTTTATTTTTTATTCATATTTTGAATTTTTTATTTTTATTTTTAGTTAAAGTTTTAGTAATTTTGTTGTGCATTTTTGTCATTTTTATTAGTATTTGTTGAAAATATGTCTATTTACATTTTATTCCATTTTATTTCATTTTTAGCAGAAGTTAAACTAAATGTTGCCTTAGCAACAAGCTGAAAAAATAAGTTTAAGTTTTTATATATTTTATTTTATTTTAGTTTAAATTTATTTTATTTAAAGTAATAATTTTTTTTTAATGGTTTTAGTTTAATTAATTGTAATAAACCTGATCCGATCACAAGTGCACAGCTGAAAATTGTAATTTCAGTATTCAGAATTAGTTTTTATCTTTCTATTTTCCATTTTAATTTTAAAGTTGTAGTAATTTTGTTGTTCATTTTTTTTCTTATTAGATTTTCTTGTTTTTTTATTTCAGTTTTAGTACATCAAGTTAAACTAAATTTCCCTGGCAAGTGTTTATTTTATTTTATTTTATTTTTATTTCAGTTAACGTTTATTTTATTTCAAGTAATTAAATTGTTTTTGTATGGTTTTAGTTTAAGTTTTAGTTTAGTTAACTAATAACCCCAATCTATCACAAGTGCTCAGCTGAGAATTTTTGTTTTTTGTTTTTTGTTTTTATCAAACATTTTAAAACACAGACGAATGACAGTTGAGTTTGCAGCCCTTTTTTCTATTGTTTAAGGATGCATAATAAACATTATTATGTGAAATTAATTAAAAAGACAAAGGTAGTTACTGTGCATTTAAATTCATAAGTGAAAGAATTGCTTAGGAAACGAATGACTAATAACCAGTAGTCACTCTGTACAAGTATAAAAACAATATATTAGGTTTATTAAAAATATATAGATAGATATGCAAATATATAAGCGTATTTTAACTGCAGGGTGACTGACTTGATTATAACATTCGCAGTGTTTCATGGGAGTGGAGGGGCACTGCTGATCTCTTGCTTTTGGTGGATCTCATGTTATTTTTAAAACCCAATTTCTGCATGGGGAAATGAATGTGATTTTTAGTTTGGGAACCATACGGTTACACTCTGTTCAGTGCTGTGCATTTGTGATCGATTCACACGAGTGTGACGTTAATACCAGATCAGGCATGAAGCAGCCCGGTGTGAATATGTGTAAGAGTGAGTGATATCCACATGCAAATGTGTTCGCCATCTGAGCTGTATTTACTATCATTATGTTGATGGTGTTAATGATCAGATCTGACTTTAACACACTAGCTCTACTAACACTTAACATAAACATTTTAACATCTCTCAAAAGCCCATTCTGTCAGTTTTATATGCACATTTTTTCATACAGTATGATTTGCTGGTTAATTTGTTGAGTTAATGACAATTTAATTCTTACATACATTTTTGCGTTTAACAAATGCTTTTTAATAGAGCAACATAAGCACATCGAAAAAAAATCTGCAGAAAAATGGATAATGTCTTGGCAAAAAATCATCAACTTTCCATTAATTTCCTTCAAATATGTATTTTATTAATTTATTTCTTTTTTTTTTCATTTCATAGCAAAAGGCATAGTGCAAGTCTATACATAATTTTTTGGCGTTGTCTAAAACACAGTACAATGCGATTCACTATTCAAAATATGGATAACACGCCTGCAATCAATACACAAAATTGGACTGTATTTTTACAGACTTTTCTTAGAGTGCAATTCGTCACAGTTAATCACATACATCAATATTTGGAGAGAAAAGCCCACAAATAAAGACTATTCGAGGCATCATTGACCTACAGTTCACAGCAGTGCTTTTCTCTATTGAGATGTCACATAGCAGAGTGAGGATCTGTTGTTGGACTCAATCTGTGCTATATTTTTATCTGTGTACATATGCGTCGGATGGACTGATTTGGCCGTTGCGTCACGTCTAACAGTCTGGCAGCATTAACACTGTTTTCAAGACACTGACTTGTTGTGTCAACTTAAAAACTTGGTTCACCTGAAAATGAAACTTTGCTGAAATTCTACTCACCCTCAAGCCATTCAAGGTGTAGATGAGTTTTGAAAACAGATTTGATGAGATGAGAACAGATTTGGCGAAGTTTAGCATCGCATCACTTGCTCACCAATGGATGCTCTGCAGTGAATGGGTGCCGTCAGAATGAGAGTCCAAACAGCTGATAAAAACATCACAATAAGCCACAAGTAACCCACACCACTCCAGTACATCAATTAATGTCTCGTGAAGCGAAAAGCTGCATGTTTGTAAGAAACAAATATATCATTATGCTATTTTAACTTTAAACTGACACTTCTGGCAAAAAATATCAATTATGAGTCAACATAATCCATAACAACGCATCCTCCAGTGAAAAAGCCCATCTCCTGTTGTCCTCTCACATCAAAATCCACCCACAGGTTTGTTTAGAGCTGGTTTGGACTGTTTGCTTGTAAACGGTGCTTGATCTGTGCAGATTTCTCTCCTGATTCAGGCATCTTTTTCACTGAAGAAAGCAATATTATGTATAGAGGACTCTTTTTTTTTTTTTGTCAATGTGATGGTTTTAAGTTAAAATGTCTTACTGATTTTTTATTTCTTACAAACACGCAGCTTTTCGCTTCACAAAACATTAACTGATGGACTGGAGAGGTGTGGATTATTGTGATGTTTTTATCAGCTGTTTGGACTCTCATTCTGACGGCACCCATTCACTGCAGAGCATCCATTGGTGAGCAAGTGATGCAATACCTCATTTCTCCAAATCTGTTCTGATGAAGAAACAAACTCATCCACATCTTACATGGCCTGAGGGTGAGTACATTTCATTTTGTGTTTGAACAATTGCTTTAATGATTATTTATGTTTGCATAAAGTTATTTATTGCGAATTAATGGCGTCAAATGAAGATGTAAAATGAACAGCCCTGATAAACAGATAAAGTGCAGCGGCTGCATGTGTGTGTGCTGGTGTCAGTTCTCATCAGAGCAGTATTGTGTATCGAGGTCTTAACAAGCTGCTCATCAGAGCTGATGTACAGTATGGATGCCGTCTCCTGGAATGAGACGATCGCTCCGAACAGATGTGCGTGTTTTTTTTCCCTCCTGAACAGTTCTGTTTTTGCCAGTAGCAGCAATCCGCACAGGAAGCATCGATTGGGAACGCAGCAGGTTCATGTGTCGTTTGCACACACACACACACACACACGGCTGTTACTGCTCTTGTATTTGTGCCACATGTGCTGAATATTTCAGCAGCCGTGATTTCCCCCCCTCCCCTCTCCGTCTCTATCTCCCGCCTGAAAGTGCCCTGCACAGTAAACAGTGTGAGATAGATGACTGCGTTCTTTCAGGGCTGGTGTGAGAGGAACAGTCTGTGTGACAATTCATGGCTCTGTCCCGCTGTACGCCCTCTTGTTTCCTGACCATAGCCTTGATTCATGGGTCACAGCTCCACTGATCACGTGTCATCATAATGCATTACTGTAATCAGATTTGGGTTTTTTTTCCTGTAATTTAAGAGACAGTTCTCTGTGTTTGCTGTTACATGCATGTACAGGTTCAGTTAACCATGGCTAATTTCACATCCACCAACAAATGTTGTTTCACATGTTCATTGCACCTGCTTTCTTTTGGGTAGCACACAAGCACACTTCCTCTGTGAACTAATTGAAATTGAAATGCTTTTGTTGTTGTTCTTGTTATTTGTCGATTTGTTAAGGCTGTACTAACAAAAATTTAGCGCTTTTAGTAGTAGCTTTTGTTCAATGGTAATGCCATGTTTTGGAGAGCTTTTATGATGTTGTTTTACTATGGACATTTACCATAGTGTGTCCATGCTGTCCAGTTTTCTAAAGTGTTTTTGAAAAATCACATACCCTGCCTTTAATAAAAAAGGCATGGTGTATGTTTTATTTAGAGTATTTTATTTTATTTCATTTAATAGTCCCTACAGCGTAATCATACAAGTTGTTTTGCAAAAGTAAAATACACACAAAATGCTCAATTTATAGTTATGCCCTACCAAATAACACTATTTCATTGAAAACGTATATTCCATGCATCTTGTGTGTTAAATGAAGAATTGAAAGTAGAATTTGTCATCAATCCTTGTATTGTCCTCCTGAGATTACCTAACATGATTGCTCCATACAGAGTAATTAGCAAGGTAATCCCATTACACTGTAGAAATAGTAAATAATAGGCTAACTGATGGCTGTTTTGGAGTGACGTCCCTCACAATACTCGTGTGTTTTCAGGCTCCGCTGGTGTCAGGCCACGCCGGTGTGAAATTCACAGTCCTGGAAACTCTCGACCATATAAAAGAGGAATTCCAGCTGTTTCAGGCCCAGTATCACAGGTACAGACACACAACCTTCATTTCACCTCATCCAGGAGGATTTATTGCAATATTATTCAGACAAAATCTCAAAATGTAACTCAACTGACTCCTAAAATCAAACCAACGTTGAAAAGCTTCCCGGTTTCTTTGATGTTTACTGCTGTTTACTTCATTTTCTATAATTGCATCTACATTTTATTCAATTATGTTGTGATTTAGATGATCTACATCCTCTCTGAACTGCAGTTGGGATCACCTGTGCAAAGCTGATGAGATTATCAAACCATAATGCTCTAAAATCACTCCAGCGACTAGAAACGCCTGTATTAGCTGATACAGACCATTAGCCAGCTAATCCTGATAGTCTCATTAGGAGCAATTACAAAAGCTACTGAACGTCTTCCTTTAGAACAGTAAACATCAATGGACATTATAAAACTGGATCGGCTTCAGTAATACAATATGTCTATAGTTGAAAAACATATTTATTCTAGAAGTGGTTCCGTTTCATGTTGGAGGGGCTGATATTGTGGCCTAATTGACCACTGTCACATGACGAGGACACAGTGTCACATGACCTCACACCGTGTGTCGTTTTCTGTTTTTCAGTCTGAAGCTGGAATGTGAGAAGTTGGCGAGTGAGAAAACAGAGATGCACAGACATTATATCATGGTAAGAGGGAAGTCTAACAACATTACCCATAATACCAAAAGCCATTTGACTCTCAACTGTGATCAGCTGTGCTCATTTTGATTAGCTCAGCATGAAAAGAGCTTTCCTGGAGCATTTCAGTCCTTGGTTGTGCAGCTGAACAAACGATCAGCTATGGGTGGCAAAAGATCTCCGGGATAAAGTTGTGGACAGGCACAAGTCAGGAGATGGATAAAAAAAAATCTTTATCAATGCCTAGAAACACAGTGAAGTCTATTATTACGAAGGATAAAGAAGTGCCTTGAATGCACTATAAATCGCTTTGAATAAAGGTGTCTGTCAAGTGCATAGATACAAATGATGATCTACACATATATATCTACACACATAATATGAAAGACAAGTGAGTGTCAGGTCTTTCACTATGAATATGGGTTATCTCTGGCCTCTGGTAACACATGTAGAACATTTCTGTCATTTAGGTGGATGTAACTGTGATTTATGTTGTGTAATTGAACTGCCCTTGTTTCCTTCCACAGTATTATGAAATGTCTTACGGGCTGAACATTGAAATGCAGAAGCAGGTGAGTGACTGATGTGCCGTTTGCAGCTTGATTTCATTACAGATCAGCATGATCTCTGTGTAATGAGCTTTACAGTATGAGGTGTCCTTGTGTGCGGGAATTATGGGGTCTGGTTGGCAGGGTGCCAGGTGTCTGATGCTACTAGGTGAACAAATGAATAAAAGTATTAATATATTTCAATAAAAACCATGCTGACCCCAATTTTGAATGGTAGTGTACATGCATTACCATGGTTAAAGGTTTTTAACACTTAAAATTGCTTTTTTAAAACTGTTGGTATTGCCGCTAATATGATAAAAAAAACATCAGTGTTCAATAAATATGTAAATTTCTTAAAGGTGATAAACACAAACACTTTTTATACCGGGTTAAAAAAAATATATTTTTTGTATGATTATATGTAGACTTGCATATGAAGGTGTAGTAATACAGATATAGTGTTAATATTAATGTGTGCCTCTATACTGTATTCTGTTTTACAGCAGCTTTAAATGTGGCTCATCCAATCAGATTTCAGAGCTAAAACTAAACTATCTCTGTTTTCCTCAAACATATTTAAAAGAAAGCTTAAGGTTTGTCTGTTTTCGTTTTTCTTTGTCTTTTGGAGGAGAGATGTACTGTATACATGCGATGTGCCTGATTCAGTGTTTAGTTGGGTATTTACTCTGAAGCTCGTTTTAAGCCTGACTACTCTATATGAGCAAACACACACACATGCTAGAGTGGGCTAATCCAGATAAGACCCCTGCATCTCTCCTCGTTTTCCAGGCCATCTGTTGGAAATGCCTGGATTTGCGAGTGTATGTGGGTCAGAGTGTGTGGGATCAGCCTGAATGAAAGTGTGTACATATGTGAGCTCTCTCTCTCTCTCTCTGTGTGTGTGCAGTGTATTAAAAACACCTCTGGCAGTCAGGAAAGACCCTATCTATCTATCTATCTATCTATCTATCTATCTATCTATCATTTTGTCATTCTATCTATCTATCTATCTATCTATCTATCTATCTATCTATCATTTTGTATCTATCTATCTATCATTTTATCTATCTATCTATCATTTTGTCATTCTATCTATCTATCTATCTATCATTTTGTCATTCTATCTATCTATCTATCTATCTATCTATCTATCATTTTGTATCTATCTATCTATCTATCTATCTATCTATCTATCTATCTATCATTTTATCTATCTATATCTATCTGTCTATCTGTCTATCTATCATTTTGTCATTCTATCTATCATTTTGTCATTCTATCTATCTATCTATCATTTTGTCATTTTGTCATTTTATCTATCTATCTATCTGTCATTTTATCTATCTATCTGTCTATCTGTCTATCTATCTATCTGTCTATCTATCTATCTATCTATCATTTTATCTATCATTTTATCTATCTATCATTTTGTCATTCTATCTATCTATCTATCTATCTATGTGTCTATCATTTTATCTATCATTTTATCTATCTATCTATCTGTCTGTCTGTCTGTCTATCTATCTATCATTTTATCTATCTATCTATCTATCTATCCATCATTTTGTCATTTTATCTATCTATCTATCTATCTATCATTTTGTCATTTTATCTATCTATCTATCTGTCTATCTGTCTATCCATCATTTTGTCATTTTATCTATCTATCTATCTATCTATCTATCTATCTATCTATCTATCTTTT